AACCCGAATTTAAGAAAGCAAGAATTATCCGCACCGCACGGCACGTACACCATATCAGATGGCTAGAGGCGGCCAGCATATACTTGGCTAACCTTAAGGATAATCAATGCATCAATTATAAAGAAGAGATTACGTTATCAACAGCGTGGCTAGCGTTTATGAATAGTAATTTATGATAGCCCGTTTGGAGTCGACTGCGCATGACATACAACGACGGAAACGGGAAACGTGCATTCGAACTTACATATTTCGAATTTAAAGTTTTTACGAGCTGCATTTTCCATCAGAGATTTGAAAAAACCTGAAGAAGAACCGGTATAAGGGTTCAAAAACGTTAGTTTTGGTTTGTTTTGGATCGTTAAGAGTTAGTAGACGCACCAGTAACAGGTTAGAAAGAGATAATTAAATTTACTGAAATAAATAGATGATAGAAGATTATCTCAGCATTTGAATCAGAAATCTGATTCAAGTGAATAAACTATTTCTTTTCTCTAATTTATGAGGAATATTTAAAGAAATCTTCATAAATTGATTTATTTTTCTTATAAAAATGTCAATATTGATTTTATCAAGCAAGTAAAGGATGTTAATAATAAAAAATTATTATGAAAACAAGAATAAAACAAAATTTATGAAACTTTTACATTAGATAGAAAAATTTATGTGAGCTGTTTTAGAAAATTACTGTAAAACTGTAAAACATTAGCTTGCTTTACTTAAGCTGCTTATGTTTGCAGTCTTCATGTGGAATTGATTTTATTTTTATTGTTAATTTTTAAATAATTTATTATTAATTTACTATAATAAGTTTAAAATTATCCTAAGATTAAAATTATAATGATAATTGTGGTTGAGAAGCTTTGCGGAAAGTTTTTCATTTTTTAGATATTACTCATAGTTTGAGTTGTTAAATATGAATAAATTTAATATTTATTGTTATATAAGACATGTTTATTGTCTGTTACAGTATTGTATTAACATTTAACTGTTATGCTATGCCATTATTAAGAGTGATGAATTATTCAAACTCTGAAATGTTTTTAAATATTTTTGGGCATAAGTAACGTTTGTCATAAATAGGAGACTGACTATATCTACTTAGATCAGAATATTGTATCTTATAATATAATCAAGATGGGTTGATAATAATAATAATAATAATAATGATAATAGTTTATAAAAAAAGAAAAGATAAATTTGAGTAAACCTCAATGGGAGTCTCTCTTCAAGATGATAAATGCAATCATCCCATAATATGATGGGACGAGGACACTGGGGTTTGAGGAAAAAATACACGCATGCTAAAAAATGCAGAGATAAGCCGCAAGACTTTTGCAAAAAACTGGGTATTGGAATAAGTAGAATATCGAAAAACGTCATGCTGCATATATATATATATATATATGTACAAATATATATTTTACATAAGTAAATGGACAAATCACCGTAATTGCTAGCATGCAAACCGGTGCCTTAAGCGTTTGGTAAAACCATTGATGTTGTGACATGCTATCAATGAGAGCTTTCTAATGAACAAAGGGATAGCAAATATGCAGCCTTGTAAACATCGACAATTAAATGGAATAGTGGAAATAGTTACTCTATCTTCTCTTTGAAGTTGGAACTTCGCTTCCAACTGTGTCGGCCACTCTGTTGATGTATGGTTGGTTAGGGAGTGATTTGGAAGAGAACAAAGAGTTCTTAATTAAAACTTGTTTAGTGATAAGGATATTTCTTCGTAGTTGGATAATATAAGAATTTTTATTATAATGATTATTAATTTGATTAGTTTAACTAATGATAATATCAGTATATTTAGGATTTCTTCTATTTTTTTTCTTACAAAGTTATCGGTGATGAATTGTTTTTAAAAGAAATTGGATTTTATAAATTATCTTAACTGGTTCTTTGCTAAAATTAATAGTAATCAATATTAGATTGATTACTCTTTTTTATTACAAAATTACATCAACCAACCAACTTTAAAAATTTTAGTTTTTTTATTAATAAATAATAAAGGGTGGCCTATTTTTTCAAAAGTTAGAGATTTAGATAGAGGTTTGGTAAATTAAACCAATAACTTTGTTATAAAGAATTAGTGTATACATTTCCTGTCAACCCTACATATATATAAACTAAACATTTATATTTATTTTGCAATGCAGTGTAGCCTAACAATGTAGTATTTTTATATTTATGAAACATTCAATATTTTTCAATTTACCTTGACCACATGGGTTTCACCATCAGAATGGGCTCCTTCTGAAGAGGAAGACTTTTCTAAAGGTGGAGGAGGTGGAAGATGACTAACTGTATGTCTCTGTTCCTGAACGGAAGCCAATCTGAAAAATAAGATTAATTTTAAGCTTGTGTTTCTTGTAAATTGGAAGTTATATTTATTTAAATTCCTACATACAAGTGCAAAGCAATCATATTTTAACAAAGTGCCTTAAACACACACACAAACACATTTAAATATAAGTATTATTGTTTATTAAATATATATATATATATCTTATGGATTTAATAGTTAAAAAATTTCTGTTTCAGATATGAATATAAACCTACATATGATAAAATTATTATTTCAATGCCACAAAGAAGGCTTTAATAATTAGAAATTAAACAATTTAATTATACTTTCAAATTACATTAATTAAAAAGAAAAGAATATTTAAACAGAATATTTATTTTATATGTTAATGTTTATTCTCTATAACATGAACAACATATTTCATTTAATTAATATTTATTTTCAAACAAAAACTTTAAAAAGGAATATTTTGAGACTCAATAATATTTATGCTGTAATTAAATAATTTTTTTTTTCTTTTCTGAAGTTGGGATGAAAAATGATTCAAGATTAAAAAGAGAAATAAAAGTCTACAATTTAAATCAGTAAAATAATTACAGAATGTTCAAAATAAGTTTTTATTATTGACATTACAGTAAGACAATGATATATTTAAAATCAATGCTTTTCACTAAAGAAAAATTTTTCTGGAACATGTGATTTGTTTTTAAAGAAGACAAAAAAAATCAATATTATAAAAATATAACTTTAGTTCAAAAGGATTAAACTTATTGATACGAATTATACTTGAAATAATAATCATTTTAAACATTCCGAATTTTAAAAAGTTCTTTTAACAAAATACAAAATTATAAAATTAAGAAATTATAATTTTTATTTTATACAGAAAAGAATTCTGGAATAAAAGACATTACAGTCCATTTTCAGGTTTAACAATCAATTCAGAAATGTTATAAAAAGTTATTTAATATGAGATGTTTCCTAATAAAAAGAAACTCCTATTTGACTTCTATAAAATTGTCTTGCAACAATAATGACGACAAAAAATTATTTCATAAATTTGACTTTTGGTCTTTGTCTAATTTTAATATTTCTGTTTAAACTGTGAAGACTGTAAACATAATCAGCTTTTTAGCTTTTTGTTTAGAAATTAATTTAAATATTTACCAAATTTGTCATTATATATATATATATATATATATATATAGATGTATGTAAATATAAGAGCCTTTGCAAACCTTAATTCAGTTGTGATTCTAGAACTGATAAAGTCAATAAAAAGTTATACTTTATTTCTACATTTGAAAATCAAATTTGAACTTTAGATGGAAAAAATTTTTATAACAAGAACTATAATTAAAAATCTATAATAATTTGCAAAACTAAATAAATAAACCTTTAAAATCTAGCAGTAGTTTTTAATAAACAAATATTTACAGTTATATTAGTAGCCATCATCAGATTCAAATATAAATGATCTCAAAGACCTATATTTGAACATCATGTATTATGAATACATTTAAATTCAAAACAAGAATACTACATTAAGAATACAATACATATCATTAATGAATATAAAAAATTAACAATAATTTTAATGTTAATGTTTAAGATATCTATAATTGAATCTGGTGATGGCTACTAATGTTTGATAGCCAAAAACTGCTGCTGAATTTTAAACGTTTATTTATATAATTATTTCATCCAACTAACTACAAATTATTAGTGATAAAAAATACTTATCAGTATACTTAGATTTAGATTCAAGGTATACATCTGAAATTATACATACTATTTCCTATTAGTCAATCATTTCAACAGTTTGTTTATTTTTGAATCCAAACTATAAGATTATTAGATATTTTCTTAGTTTAAAATGGTTTCTCCAATATATATATAGTATTTTCAGTTAATATATCCAAGACTGTACTAACTATCAGCTCAATATACAATAATCAATAACTGATCTAAAGAGGGTGAATGGAGAAACTTCCCTAAGATACTTTATTGCTAACATAAGTTTCAATATTTCTCTCAAATAATATATTTATATTTTAATCATTAAAGCAATTAAACTTTTATATATAATTTATTTCACTAACCACAAATTAAAAATTGCCCATGGATGTCCATTTATACATTTTATTATATTTATTTCAAAATTTCTTGTATGTTTTTGTTTCTACTTATGATATCTACCATTCATAAAGTGATAAAGGTTTTAAGGGTGGTTGAGTTTTGATGGATATCCAAAGAGGAGGGTGGTTATGGAAATTTGGACAAACTGGGACAAGACCAGGAGGGGAAGTAAAAATTTCAAGAAAAATGTGGATGTAATGTATGGACAGCTCTAACTTTCAAATAAAAATATGATAAAAATTAAGTAAACACACTGTTTAAATATTTTCTCATATTAATTCTTTTTAAATGTAATTTGTAAGAAATTCTTTTAAGATAAATATTGACGTTTACTACATCTAATTATAAATATTTTTATTAGTAGTCTAAAATTAAAAACATTTTGAAAAATATGATATTTATTGCAACTGCAAAATTTGATAATGTCTTTCTTGATGAGTAGAAATTAATAATCATAAAATTCAGTTTTTTTTTTTATATTACTATCATAATGGGGATAGTCCAGATGCAGACAAATACTTTCAGACAATTTCATATACAAAACACACACAATTCAATGTTAACAACTAGGTAATGAAAATCACAAATTTCACATGTTAATATTTAATAAAATAAAATTTACTCTCAAATAATTTATTTGTATAGAAAGAGTAAAGCATATACAAAATTATACTTTGAATTTGTCTTCAATATCTCTAATATCATATAATAAAATATAACTTGCATTTTATTACAAACTATTCATTGATTTTTAAAAATATTTTATAAATTATATATTTTAGTTAAGACTTATAAACATATATTTACCTTTTTAAAGTTACTAGAGTTCCTGTTAACTTTTTACATCTACGAAGCGCAGTTTCCAAACGATCAGGTTCTTCTTTCAAAAATCTATAATTAAAAGTATAGAATTTAAAACTATACTCTTTTCTTATTATTTCAGAAAATGATATATACATAAATTGTTTATTTTTTTTTATTTATGAAAAATATATTTAATAATAAAATATCTCACTTCTCTTCTTTGACAACCATTTCCATTTCTGCTGTCATAACAGATTTCAAATTTTCTTGAAGATTTGGAAATCGAGCTAAAAATATTCATAAATTGAAAAATAAAAGATTTTTAAAGGCTTGTGATAAGATTGTGGTTTAAATTTTTATATTCAAGTTCATATTTATTGCCTAAAATTAAAATTAAATACATAAACATAATTTATCAATATTTAATTTACTATCCTTAATAGAAATTAATTTGATTTTCATTACTTGAAAAGTTTAAAAGCATATTATTTTAAAGGAGCCTATATAACAATATGTACAGTACCTAGAATATATATATATATACACCTAGTTCTGTGACAACATATTGAACACAAAGTAAATGTATCATGAATAAAATGATGGTACACCATAATAATTTGTCAAATAAGAATTGTCACAATAGAAACCAATAACATCTCTACAGAACTGTCAACAATGATAAAGTGATTTTACTTATCAAAGATTGTCTACTTTTGGATATGTTGCAAAGATTATATTGTGGCATGTTTTATATCTCACTTTGTATGCACACTGATCAAAAATAGGATTATTTTTACAGATTATGTAATCTATTTTCACAAAAAAATACACATTTATCTATTTTTGTTTTGGTAAAAATAAGAAAGTAAAACTAGCAATTTATATAATTTGTACATAATACAAAGTATATGCAAATTAATACATGCTGCTGTCATGATGATAAACACTACAAAATTCATTTTTTATGCAAAATACAAAAAGAATAATTATCAAATGCAATTAGTCAATTTTATTCAAATTATAAAGAATTTTTAAAATAGTAAAATTTTAATGCTAATGAAAATATTTTTATCAGAAATTTGCTTATTATAGCAAATTTTCTGCAAAAATTGAAATTTTATAATTTACAAAAGTTATAAGAATTTTTTTAGTTTTTTTAATTATAATTTGAAATAATTCTGTATAACAATTCATTTATTATATTGTAAGTAGATATAGATATGTTTAAATCAAACCAAACACAATTCTTTCAATAAATTTTATATAAGCTTAAAACACAAAAATGCTCTTAGGTATTCTTTATTGTTGGACATTTCTTTAATGGAGGGTTTTTATCTAACTTTATTTCTACATCTTTGTGTGATTATGATGGGTTCAAGTTTTATTGCTATGATAAATACAAATTATTTTTTATATTTGATAAATGATTGACAACAGATTACTCTAAAAGAAATATCTTGTTTGTATCTAAAATGCATAAAATATATTTTCTTAAAATTACCTTTTAAATCGGCTACAGTTTTACTTGCACGACTAAGAACAAGAGCCATACTTTCTACATCACTCATGTTAACTCGACATCTTCGATTGATTACATTTCCCCTCAGTTCCTCAACTTGGCTTTCTAATTCACTAGAAAATATATTTTTTATAGAATAAATTTATTATACATAATAAAAGTTTTGATTAGATTTTATAANGATCGGGGTCGGATAATCGATGCTCTACTGTATTTCAATTTAACAGACCAAAATTCAGTTTTGCCACAGAACAAGCAATGAAAAATTCGGTGGTAGTGCAGCGACTTGTTTAAAATAGTTCTATTGTATATTAGTGGTGTATATGAACGCGAATGAATCGTACAAACAAAAAAAAAAAGGGTCAACAGGTTTCACAGGATTTCCTCGGATGAAAAAATTACTAGTTCACCCGGACGGCTAGCCGATTCCCGGACTGTCCGGACGATAGCACTATCGTAGGCGCGATGCACGTATAGATTAGGATGTTTCAAATTTTTACAAGATATTATTACTGTATTTATTGTGAAATTTTGCCGCCCCTTAAAAAGTGCCGCCCGGGGCGGGCCGCCCCTGTCGCCCCCACTACGGTACGCCACTGCTAAGCAGAGGGTAAGAACTATAAATAAGAGATCTAGAGCAAAAATTTTAACACAAGGCTGATTGGTTTGATGGGATACGGCAACACAATATGTGGGCAAGCTGCCAAGGGGAGACCGCCTCCTGGAATGACTTTTTACGAGAAGTTGTCCTCTATTTAGGTGTTAGACAAGCGAAAAAACTCGGAAACTCCACGCGGCCAGTCCGTTTGTCAGATGCGAACCCACGACCAACAGGCACTCGGTGATTTTATCTAATGAGTCACTTATCAATTAAGTTAGATTTTTAAGTTGCATGACATTACTGTAATTGCTTTACATTGCTCTTAAAAGTTTTAATTTCTAATGTAATTATTATTATAGTTATTGGTGTAGTATATGAATAATTTTGGCCCATAATCATGCATTTTAACAAATGTGGAGTATATTACAGAATTGCTGCGTTTCGGAATGTAGTCATCAACGACATTCCAGAGACGACTGCATGCCACTATTGACAATTATAATGAAAGTGCTTATAACTGTGTGAGGCTACTTCCAGGAGGCACTTCATGTTTTGCATGGCAAATATCAAAAAGAGATAACGTGTAGCTTTAACTTTTTGGATATGTAAATCGGAAACGATGCGATTCCTAATGAATATATTTTTACTTTTCATTAAACAGATGATAAGAAACGACTTTCCGTTTGGGCAAAAAGCAGTTTGACTAGACAAATGTTAGAAATTGTAACAGTGTAGCATGCACGTATAAATTAGTGTTACATTATAATAGAACGCGCATTTTATACAGAATAATTCTCTTTTAAAATTAATTATTGTTTTCTTAATTTTTTATGTTAACTCTTTTTGACCTGTCGGCACAAAGAGAGTATTTTTACAGTCTTATCGTAGATTAGGCTAAGCCTGTAATGGGATGATGAATCGGAAGAAACAGGCCCGATGTACTCGGAATATGAAGAATTCCTGGGGTTTTCACTCGCCCGAGTTCGGTTCCGAGTCCTCCAAAATGGTAGTACTGATTCCTTAGCCGCCTGGACTATTCGGCCGGCTCACTTATGCGTGTTTAAATGATATTTAAACATATAATTTGCATCAATAAGGATCTCACTTTAAAAATGCAAATAATTTTCACTGAAAAGTATTAATATTAAAATAGTAATTGCTCCAAACGAGATCCGAACTCTGACTCCCATTCGAAACTCGGCGATCTTTCGCGCAGATATACAGTAGATCCCCCTATAATACTGTAGATAATTTCGTGTTATACGAATCACTTAGATTTTACAAATACGTGAGCCGTTCACAGCCCGGCACACGTAGTTGTAAAATCTAAGTGACTCGTACAACATGGAATTCATATAACACGGAATTATCTACAGTGTTATAGTGTGGTCTACTGTACTATAAAACATAAATTAATAAAATGATTAAATCTCATGACTAACATTTCTAAAAATGTTATTATATATTAATAAAAAGCGATAATTTTAAACAACAATTAAATATACTTTATTCAAAATTAATTCTTACGACAGATCTTTTTCTAATTGAGTAACATCTTGTCTATAAAGTTCTTCTTCTCTAGAAACTCTTAACCTTTCAGCACATACTTGATCTTCACCCACATGGGCAGATGCCAACATTGACTATAAATAGAATATTGATTTTAAAAAAAAACTACAACTTATAAAAATAAAATTCGTGTTTATAAAGTTTGTCTGAATAGCTAACAAATATATAAATGATTTTATAAATTAAACAAACTCTTCTATTTTAAAAATTTATTACCTTTATTTTAAGGCAAGTTTCCCTCACCGTCTCCCTAGCAGTCACCGCTTGAGCTTGTGCCATTCTTCGTAAATTACGAACTTCAACTCTAAGATCTTTGGTTTGTTTTCTTAGATGACGTAATTGGAGATATAATTCAGGCGTTAATTCTGGAAAGGGTTTAAATTTTAAAATTGCAGTAATTACTTAGAAACACTGTCTTCTACATACAGCATTATGAGAAATGTTTAAAATGCATAATACTGTGTTTGAAGACAAAGCTGTAGAAAAACTAATATGTATTTGTAAATTAATATATTTATTTTATTTAACTGAAAAGTTTAAACTTAAAATTTTTAAGGATTCTTAAAAAGTAATAGTAAACCAAAGTTTTTAGACTTTAGTTTAAACTCAAAAGATAGTTTTAAAAGAGGAAGAAAACAAGACATGATTGATTTAATGAAAAAGCACCTTAATGGGCAATGCCTAGCTAGATTTATAGGTAATAGGACAAAGATACCTTTAACGTTACCAGTAGAATAAGGACGTACATCTATGGCACCTGCTGGTAATAAACTGGGTTTGGGTGGTGGGGCAGGTTTTAATGATCCACTGCCACGTACTTCTCTTTCTGGAGGTCAAAAGTTAAGAAATAAAATAAAGAATTCTTTCATATGGTGAAAATGGTTCAATTCTTGATTTTTTATACTTTGTATTTAGGTCTGAGAGTGGATCTAAAACTTATTCTTGTGCATTGATATATTTTACTTAAATATATATGAGATGAGCTTAATTAATAATTTTTAATTTATTACTTTTAGAAAGTTAACGTTTGTAGCAATGTTCTGAAAGAATAAATCTTGTTTTTTTTTTCCATAAAATAAAATAAATTATATATAAAATGCACACAATGTATAAACAAATATAAATAAAACAAAAAAAATTATAACCTGCACTACTAATTATCACATAGGTATTGAGCACAGAGGATTTGGGTTAATTTGGGAGGAAAAAGAAGCATAAATTTGCCATTAGTCATGCTGTTTCTAATCTACTCTGTTACGTGCAGTAAATTAAAACTGTTTCATAAAACAATATATTCATTGATTTACTTTATTTTTTAAAAATGATTCTTGCTTTTTTTAACTATCTTAACTGTGATATAGTAACTGAATGACTTTATCATTGAGCATGTACTAATTTATTTTAATACATTTTCTGAGATTAGTAAAATAAAATCAAAAAGATGTTATTTCTGATAAATGTTATTTCTACTTTAAAAAAAGGGTGTAAAATTTCACTGCCAGTTATTTCAAGTTTTCCAAAGCATTCAAGATATTGATGGTTTCTCAAATAATACCTTTTATGAAAAGAAAATTCATCAGTAAGTGTTGAAAGCTTTAACTATAAAACAAAGCAGTAAAAATAATAAGATAAATGTATAAATAAATCATTTAGAAAAACAGTTTAGTTGATAAAATATTCATGCAATAATTAAGCACATATTTAGTTTATAAGTGTTTTTTAATAAAAAAAAATAATGAAATTAATTGCACATGCCCAAAAACCATTGCAATAACTTCATGCAGGCATGAAAACAAACCTTGCAGGGAGACGGCTTTACATTCTGAACTATCTTCTTCTTCACCTTCTGCTGGAAATGTAGTGAGTGGGAATTAGTGAGTTCTCATTATAACGCTTTACATAAACAAATGTAATTTATCTATAGTATGTTTATAAAAGTGTTTTTCTTTAATAAGGTCTCAAATTCTTCATTAACAGTTTGATGACACAAGAATAATTTATTACAGCATTTTCTGTATTAACACTACAAGAATTAGTAATGATGCCACAAGAATTGATATTATATCCACTTGCCTTAAATTATCTCAAGCATTCTATAATAATAAAATTATTTTATACTTTTATTTAAATAATTCAAAAAGCAAGAATATATAAAATATATATTAAATTGTTAGCTTAATGAACAATCATAATAATAACTTTGCATGATTAAAAATTAAAATTTTTATTTTGCATTTTAATTTGTAAAAAATACCCTAAGAAGGTTATTTAAAAATAAAACATGCAGTAAATTAATTGTTTAATTATCTTTGTGATTCATAATTTTTTTAAAATAATGTAATTATAACAAATTACTGATATATATGGTTAATAAGTACTATTAAGAATGCATGTGACAAGTAATTGAATTTTGAAACTGAAAAAAGACTTTTTATTTTCTTTTTAATGTTGCTCCAAATTAGATTATATAAAATAAGCTTTTATATAAAAATACATGGTTTTTAACAAAAAATATTTGAAAAATTTCAAACATGAATTAAATAAATAAATTAAAAGAATAAAGCAAAATATAACTATACAAATTATATATATGTGTATGTGTGTGTGTGTGTGTGTAACAATCTTTGTATGGATACAAGAATTATTTAATAAACATTTACTGTAATTTAATATATTCATTAATTCTGTCAAATATATATAAATTTTAAACTGTATATAATTTAAAAGATGTATTTGCATATCTAAGCTTATAAAATTTAAAATTTTACTGATATATGTAATTTTCTCAAATTTATTCTGTTTAACTGTGATATACTGTATTTAAATTTATTTAATAACTTAATTTCAGTGAATTTTCTAAAACATGCATGCAGTGATAACAAAAAGTCTGCAATTTATTGAAAAGTAATGCAAGTAGTCATAAAAAAATCAATAGAGCATTATGTAAGTCTACTTTCTACTATACTAAGTATAGGTTTGTAACTATGACTCTAAACAAACAAAATAATATATTTTTAGATAACTAAATAAATCAGAAAATATGTTAAAAAAAAAAAAGTAATGGATGCAAGCAAATTTTTATAAAGGAAAAAACATGGCATAGATAGATGGTATCTTTGGTGAAACAGGAGAATCATTTATCAATCACGTTACAACGCATCATTCTATTATGTTTGTGGTATCCTATTCTGAACTTTTCTACAAGATAATGATCGTTGTTCTGTTCAAAAACCATGATAGGACTTCAGTTTTTCTCCAGTGATTCACTCTCTACACCTAAAATCGATCAACATTATAAGCATACCCGATCTAGTAGTGGAGTAGTCTAACAACTAGAAATTTAGATAATCCTTTGTATTAAAACTAATGGAAAAAATAGAAGGAAAAAAAAGCTGAATAATTCAAAAATTGCAATTTGATTTCCTAGTCTTATATTGTTGCATGCACGTAGTCTAAAACGGCAGAGATCAGATATACACTATCGATTGTTTGCGACAGGAATCATATAACATAAATCTAGATTAAAATTATTTCTGTCTCGTCTTTGTAATATAAGAAGAGTTTAAAATAGAAAGAATGTAAATCTATATTATGTTGTAAGATATTCTTCTATTTTTCTTTTTTTTTTCCTTATCTTGTAAAAACGTTTATATAAGATAGGAATAATACAAATTAATTGCTTCTTATATAGGGCTAATTATATTATCCCAAACCAAAATCTGCTAGGCCGAATTTTATTTTAAAAAAAACTATTGGTAAAATTTAAAAAATGTCATTCAAATATTTTTTTAAACCTACCATGACGTATCTCTTTTACCAGTTCAATATCCCTTGTAGGAATCTGATCTTGTTTTCTTCCTGGAGGTGCTGTTAAGGCTTTCTGTACTAATCCAGTAAGATTAGCTAACTGACGTTCCATGTACTCCATCCTCATTCTAAATATAGAAATAGTTTAGAAATAAGTTCTATCATTAAATTTTTTGTTATTTTATTTACTTTTTTTCTTTGCTGCTAGTCACCACTTGCATTTCAATGACGAAAAAGGACATTCACCTTGCTTCTTCATCTATAACTGGAGTAACGCTCCCAGACCTTGTACCATAAATCCTTTCCCCGTAATAAGTACTACTGTCATCGTACGATGATGGTGTGCTACTACCAAAACCTGGGAAACCTCGCTGATGGTCTGGTCTCCTTTCGGGGGAAGAAACGTACCCTGCTTCATGAGTTCTTCTCTCCGGAGATGAATGGTATGGCAATTCGTAACGTCTCTCTGGAGAAGACTGATATGATGGGGTACCTGCTGCTGAATAAGGTCTCTCCGGTAGTGCCCTGTACGCCCCTTGTGGTTCGTGACGCCTTTCTGTAACGGTAATGCATCCCATGCTAACTAATAAAAGATTTTCACAAAGTTTTCTAGTACTTTTGTTTGTTTAAAGTCTTTTTATTAAGCTTACCAAGTGTTCTGGACTGTGTAGATCTTGTGGATGGGATAGCGGGCGATGGACCGGAAGGTGCTGGAGTCGAACGCACGCCCTTTGAAAGAGGCACCATAGCCTGCTGGAAAGACCTTTGTGGTTTAGGTGGTGGTTGATTACTTCCTATCATAATGTTCAAAAATACATATCAAGTTACAATTATATAATTTCTATTTTAATAAAAGCATACTAAAAGTATTAATAACGTTCAGCAAACGTACAATTGGTATATTAATCAATAAGCATTATTTACAGCAGCGAAACGTGTTATTGAAATTGTTTAAGTTCAATCAAATAAAATTTTGAAATCTAACAGATAAATAAGCGATAATGAGCTACGGAAAGCGTTAGAAAGAAATAACTCTGTTATTTATATATCTATAGACCTACAGTATGCTTCTATAATCACTAAAACTTCGAAAGAAGTTGAGTCATAACTACAGATACATTGTATTATTATCTGTTTCCCAATAATTATAGCATTTACAGTTCTATAAATGAGTATGGGGGGTTTTATCACAACAGAAACAACCATTTAAAAGAAATCTTACCAGGAGACATAGAAAAACCTGAAAATCTTTCAGGAGGTACAGGAGGTACCGGGTATGGTTTTGTTCGAGGATACGTGAAAGGCGATCCTGTGATTGAGTCAATAATTACAATTAAGCATAAATCTTATTATTAAAAATATTCGCAAATTCTTTCCAGACTGGCTCTCCATAATTTTAAAATTTCATAATTCAAAAATTATCTGAAGAACTTGTGATAAAAAAAAACACCAGTTTAAAAATTATTAGTTTTGTAACTATTAATTTCTATACAAAGATTTTCCGAAACGTATATTACAAATATTACAATGCGATATAACATCAATGTAATTAAAATAATCTTGAATTATTTGTATCATATCTCAAGTACAAATATATTTTGGTAGACGAATGTACCTTATTTAATTTAAGAAACTTTCAATCTTATTATATTAGATAACCTTCCATAATGTATAAAGACTTACATTTACATATACAGTAAATTCTGTCCATATTGATATATATGAATAACTTATATTAAATTGGATTATATAGATCCTATTTATAACATATTGATTTTAGTTTCGTTATAAACAAGTTCTTATGCAACAATTTTATTTTATTTATTTGATATTTTTCACTCTTTCAGTGTTATTTAAAGTAAACAAACAAATCTAAATATTCATGTAGATTCCAATTTATTTTCAGTTCTGATAAATTTATACTTTATTTCTTTAATATTTATTCATTATTTTTTTAAAAAATAATCTATTATATAGCCTATATATATATATATATATATATAGGCCTATATCATACATAACTTTGTTTTTATAATCCTATAATTAGATTTATTCGGCGTGTAATTACCAAAATATGTTATCGTTAAATTGAGAATTTATTCTAGTTTTTCTTCAATATCTCATTAAAAATCTTTAGCTAATTACATTTAGTAATTACTTTGAAAAATTCGTTAGGGAATATTTTTATACGTTATGAATTACCAAGTTTTAAAACGTAAAACTATTAAAACTAACGAATGATTTCGATAAATATCTGAAGAATATTTATTTCAATTCATGCGAGTTAAGGTTAACCTTTACTAAAAATAAATATAATTACTTCGTTATGTATAGTAAATGTTTATACAGTATAATGCACTTAAAAAATACTTTACATTTTTATATTTAAAGTCTTTTAATTTAATAATTATTAAAGAAATAATAATATTAATTCGTTAAATTTCTGAATTATATCATCATATAATAAATTTTACGTTTACGTTAAAATTCATTCGATAAATCGATCAATTTCGTTTCCATTCATACAAAAAAAAAATTAATCAATTACATGAAATTTACAACTTTTCATTCATAAATTAATCTAAATTTTAATATACAAAATTGACCTTAATTCTTAATTCAAAACATTTAATTTTTTTTTTTTTTTAAACGACTTACCTGGAGGTGGTAATGTTTGAGATTTCTGTCTTTCTGAACTTATAGGAGAAAAGGACCTGTTCGAATTTCCACGTGGTAGAGTCTGATTACGATTACTGTTACCTGTATACGGAATCAATGCACCATAGTAACTGGAGCTTTGAGGCGTTTTCGATGTCTACAAAGAATAAAATACCGCACAAACATTTAATCTTCGTATGATTATATAAATCTAAGATATCGATATATCGAATTGCAGAGGTTTTACGTAACTAATTATATTATTAAAATAACATAAATTTAGTATCAGACGTCTATTTAAACTTTGATTTTGTAGAATCTAAAAATTAGATTTTAAACAAATATATTAAGATAGAAATAAATAAAATCATTAATTACAGTAATAGACTAAATCCTATTTTGGTATAATTTAATTCTATTTTATTTTAAGTCAATTTTAAAGTATGTTAAACGGAAGTGCATAAATAACAACGTCCTTCAACTCTTAGTCATTGTACCGTTTTGAAATATTTTAAAACTGGGCACATTGTCAATTTGTTGCACATGAAATCTTATTTATCCAATCATAAAATATATTTATTTCTAAATTTACAACGCCTTAATAAGTTCTAAGGATCGGATATCAATTCTAAAAAAAATAATAATCATAAATTTAATGATTTCCTTTAAATTTTTTTAAAAATATAATAATTAAGAAGAAGTCTCGAAGCTTTTTTTTATCATAATTAATGATAATTTTAAACGGATAAGTAAATAGAAGAGTGATAGACTGTCAAATTACCGAGTGATATAAGGGGACGAACTTATTTTATCACCGAGTTTGCGTGCCAAATTTACACTGTTTACCGTTTAAATCAGAAACATGAATAGAAATTACATTCTCCCAGCTTTAGATATCGATTAAACATTATACTTTATCGGTATTAAACAGATTTAAAAAAATAATAATAATTTTTTTTTTCTCAATTAAAATATAAGATTCCATAAAAAATAATTATCCTCATATAACTTGGCATTTTTGCTAAATTTAGAAAATCTGTTAATACTTGACTTCATCCTGTTCTTCCTTTTAATATTTGTTTTATCTAATTTTTATATAATAAAATCTTATCTAATGACAAACATAAACGAGTAATTATCATTAAACGTTTTTTTAAATATATATTCTTTAATTAAATTGTTTAGTAGAGACAAAAATAAGCTAAAAAAATAAATTATTTTAATTACGATAAACAATTTATTCTTTAACTATTAAATAAATTAACTTATAATTAATCAAAAATTAATTGTAATACCTGTTCGTGATCTCTGTACTAGACTAATGCTGCATTATCCTAACGAAAGTCGAAGAAAGGATGAACTGAACGAAGAATTTTCGACACAGGAAGTAACTGCTTTTAACGAGGAACCAATTTGGTTCTGCCAAGACTGACTCAATACTATTATAAACATACCTCCCGCTACTTAGCAACAAAACCGAGACTTACCAGTTTCATTTTTAAATTTATTTATCATTAATTAACGTCTAAATACGTAATTATAAACTGTTCTTATAGATTATAAAAAAAAAAACATAATCTAACCTTTGTTCTGTGTATGTGCTGTGATTGATATTCTGAATCAAATTCTGGTTCGGAGAAGTAACTCATATCTTGATCCCAAGTGCTATAAACACCTCCTCCATTAACGTCTTATTACTATTAAGCATAAATCTTATTATTAAAAATATTCGCAAATTCTTTCCAGACTGGTTCTCCATAATTTTAAAATTTCATACTTCAAAAATTATCTGAAGNTCTTAATTCAAAACATTTAATTTTTTTTTTTTTTTAAACGACTTACCTGGAGGTGGTAATGTTTGAGATTTCTGTCTTTCTGAACTTATAGGAGAAAAGGACCTGTTCGAATTTCCACGTGGTAGAGTCTGATTACGATTACTGTTACCTGTATACGGAATCAATGCACCATAGTAACTGGAGCTTTGAGGCGTTTTCGATGTCTACAAAGAATAAAATACCGCACAAACATTTAATCTTCGTATGATTATATAAATCTAAGATATCGATATATCGAATTGCAGAGGTTTTACGTAACTAATTATATTATTAAAATAACATAAATTTAGTATCAGACGTCTATTTAAACTTTGATTTTGTAGAATCTAAAAATTAGATTTTAAACAAATATATTAAGATAGAAATAAATAAAATCATTAATTACAGTAATAGACTAAATCCTATTTTGGTATAATTTAATTCTATTTTATTTTAAGTCAATTTTAAAGTATGTTAAACGGAAGTGCATAAATAACAACGTCCTTCAACTCTTAGTCATTGTACCGTTTTGAAATATTTTAAAACTGGGCACATTGTCAATTTGTTGCACATGAAATCTTATTTATCCAATCATAAAATATATTTATTTCTAAATTTACAACGCCTTAATAAGTTCTAAGGATCGGATATCAATTCTAAAAAAAATAATAATCATAAATTTAATGATTTCCTTTAAATTTTTTTAAAAATATAATAATTAAGAAGAAGTCTCGAAGCTTTTTTTTTTTATCATAATTAATGATAATTTTAAACGGATAAGTAAATAGAAGAGTGATAGACTGTCAAATTACCGAGTGATATAAGGGGACGAACTTATTTTATCACCGAGTTTGCGTGCCAAATTTACACTGTTTACCGTTTAAATCAGAAACATGAATAGAAATTACATTCTCCCAGCTTTAGATATCGATTAAACATTATACTTTATCGGTATTAAACAGATTTAAAAAAATAATAATAATTTTTTTTTTCTCAATTAAAATATAAGATTCCATAAAAAATAATTATCCTCATATAACTTGGCATTTTTGCTAAATTTAGAAAATCTGTTAATACTTGACTTCATCCTGTTCTTCCTTTTAATATTTGTTTTATCTAATTTTTATATAATAAAATCTTATCTAATGACAAACATAAACGAGTAATTATCATTAAACGTTTTTTTAAATATATATTCTTTAATTAAATTGTTTAGTAGAGACAAAAATAAGCTAAAAAAATAAATTATTTTAATTACGATAAACAATTTATTCTTTAACTATTAAATAAATTAACTTATAATTAATCAAAAATTAATTGTAATACCTGTTCGTGATCTCTGTACTAGACTAATGCTGCATTATCCTAACGAAAGTCGAAGAAAGGATGAACTGAACGAAGAATTTTCGACACAGGAAGTAACTGCTTTTAACGAGGAACCAATTTGGTTCTGCCAAGACTGACTCAATACTATTATAAACATACCTCCCGCTACTTAGCAACAAAACCGAGACTTACCAGTTTCATTTTTAAATTTATTTATCATTAATTAACGTCTAAATACGTAATTATAAACTGTTCTTATAGATTATAAAAAAAAAAACATAATCTAACCTTTGTTCTGTGTATGTGCTGTGATTGATATTCTGAATCAAATTCTGGTTCGGAGAAGTAACTCATATCTTGATCCCAAGTGCTATAAACACCTCCTCCATTAACGTCTTGCTCATAAATTCGTACTACAGATCGGTCTCTAATATCCCTATTATTTTTTTTTTCATAAAATAAATAAATTTTTAAGTGAAAGATTTATGTAAATTATCTAAAATTAATTTTAATATATATATTTTTTTATTATATTTTCAATTCTTTATTAAAGTCAGATCTTTCTAGATTACAAACTACATGCAGTGGCATGTAATACAATTATTCGCTGAAGTGGAAGGTAGCCAACAGCCTAATAATATAAAGAAACTGTTTGAATTGGCTTAGTCAAACTCTGAATGGAGCCATTCAATAAATGTACAGTACAGTACAATACAGAAGAAAGTTTGTGAGAGGGATAGAGAAAAAAAATGAATAATAATTTATGTTCTTATATATTTTTTAAACAGAATTATTTATGAATAATTGTATTCAAATTTAATTTTTATGACAGTTTTTGAGATTTTATTAAAATAAATTATATTGTATAAAACATGTTAAACATATTAAACTATATTAAAAAAAAAAAAGAAATTAATACAATAAATACTAGAAACTTTAAAATTAATTTAAAGGATTAATACTTAATGAATTTTACGCTATTGATGTAATAATTATTTAAATACATAATTATTTTTAACAATAATAATTATTATATAATTAAATAAGGATATTTAATTTAAACAGTATCAAGTTTTAATTAGTAATTTAGTTATTGTTATTTGTTACATTACTACACGTAATAAATAATTGTTGTTTGTTATATTAGAGTCGTCTTATTATAGTTTGATGATGTAATGAATCATATTACAAGCGGTATTATATTAAATCGATTTGTTTCAAGGACAGACTTTATTATATAAAATCGCGTTATTTTTAAACTTATAATTTTTTTTGCTTTATTATAAGAATATCTTCTCAGACAATCTTAATTATATTTGAAAGGATGATGAAATTTACTTTTTAAGCATTGAAAATATAAAGAAATTCTTCGATTATATAACTTAATTCTATATTAAAGAATTCTACCTGAGATCTTCCAATTCGTAGAACATATCTTTAGCAGGATCGTGAATGTAGATTCGAATATGAGGAGAATCAAGATATTCCATTGTTAGCTGTTTTGGGAAGGAGCGCACAAACAAAGCTTTAACGGTATCCATAGAGGTTATCTCGTTGGGCAGAAGAGCCCGTTTGGTTTCGCTTAAATATTGCAAGAACACCAAACCTTTAGGGGGTAAAAAAAAAGAAAATACATTTTAGAAATATCAATTTAGGTTATTTTATATCGATTTAAATTCGAATTTACCAAAGAAATATAATCAAATTCACCCGATAATCCTGAATAACCGGTTAGTTTAATGCTAATTTGAATACAATGAAACTTTCAAATTGCAATTAAAATACAGAAATTAAATATTTATTATATAAATTTTTCATTTAAAAAAAAAGAAGAAGAAGAAGAAATTCTTACTGAATATTACATTTTTATATAAATAAATTCAACTCGAGAATGTGAAAACGTAAAAAATCGGTTGAAGATTCTATCGACATTTATCATCAAAATTTCCAATATATCAGATTTTCGGGACTCGTTTTTCGGACCAGAAAATGACATGGAATATTTTTCTTACTTTTTAAAACAGAAAAAAAAAATCTCACGAAGATCGTTAACGAGTTAAATGAGAAGTTTATTTTTTCAAAAATAATAGGAAAAAAAAAAGTAAAAGACCATTCTTTTGTAGAAGAAGGAAAGTATTCAATCAATGTACTGTACGACAAAGAATAGTCTCAAATTAACTCTTATCGATGAAATTTGAAGCTAATAAATTAATTAATTTACACGTAGAAAATTTTATATAAAAAGAAAATAGGATAATAAAAGCTGGCCAATGTAAAAATATACACGTAATTCTTTCAAAGACATTCTTGCCGAAAGCATTTATATTATGATAAAAATGTCAGCATCCATTTACTATAATTAATTAGTAAAACATTATACAGAAACTTCAAGTTTGATGCGGATATCCTTTAAAGTACGTACTGAGCAAAGCTGGTAATAGCGGTTTGCCACTCCATTAAATTGGAATAAAGTCTCGTCATTAAAACAAATGTGACAGAAGAAGGTGTCATCCGCATTTGCTAACATCATTCTTCTACAAAATTACATTTTATAATTCTAACCAGTCTTTTATCTCTCGTCGTCGATTTTAAGAATTTCACTTTTACGTGCCATCTTATGAATGGGATTATAATTTCTCTACTGTCAAACTTTTGAAAGTGGATAAAGTAGTAATAATTCCTTCGGAAACGATTCGAGAAATGTTTTCTTATCTACAATACATCCAATGGTTGTAAAAAAAAAAATTTGTCAGTACTTTCTTACTGTTTTACAGTGAAGTATGTAGGGCTTCCGAGGGATTTTTGTCACGGAACTGTAGTGTAGTTTCTCTTCTTTATCGGAAAAAAAAATAATAATTTTACGTAGCTTTAACACTATCCAACTTGATACTATGAAAAATTTGCTCTGTCACAATATCATATTATGTTGAAATTTTCAGAAATTTTCATGATATAGGTTGGAGAATACTATATTCGTTCGATTTCCAAGTTTACTTAACTAGATATATCAGTGGCAAAGTATGAATTTCAAATGTATAACCTTATATCATTTGTTCTACTCTTGGATCAGCGTGCCAAACTTTCCGTTTCCGTCCAAATCTAAAAAATATCAATAATTCATTCGAATTCCATTGATTATATTTTATCATATTTATCAATACTTCGTCAATACTATAGAAAAATCTTTCAGATATGATAATATTATCAAACTTTTAAGATATTTTGTATTCTATACAAACTTTTTACCTTCAGATGTATCATATTATAGATCTGAAAGTAACGATTTTCAAGCGATAAGATAGATTATTTGGCTTTTAAATAACTTTCTTCGAAATTATTATAAAAAATAGCATTTAAAACAATATTTCCTTTGTACTTAGACAGTTCTTTAATTGTTAAACGTAAAGATTTCACAAAATTAATATGGAGAAGAGAAAATAAGGAGTTACAGGTTTTTATTCTCCTGAATAACTTATAATTAAGATAAGACTTCACACTTATTTATTTAATCTTTATTTCTTCTTACAAATTTTCAGATTATAAAGACTATGTTTATAAAAACTTTTCACTAAATACTTCTTCTCAATCGACTACCAAATTTATTTTATTTACTTCCACGGTTCCTCTTCATTTTAAATTCTCTTTATCAGATCATTACGTTTGTCTCTTTGCACGTAGAAAAACTAAACAGATTAATCCTCAGATGAAGTCGAATTTACTTTAAAAAAAAAGAAAAAAAAAGAAATTAACAAAGAAAATATAAAATAGACGATTTAATTAAAGATCCTCGTATTTCTTTTTACAGAAGTATTTACAACTAACAGCGATGATTCTTTTTTCTTGTCTGATCGTTTTTCTTAGTACTTGACAGCTAAAACTATTTGTCAATGGACAGATATAGAACTAGTTTTTGTGATAAATACTATCCTGGGATTGCACAGCTCATTTCTCACAGTTTTAATTTGTTAGAAGAAAGACGTGCGAGGTTTTTAAACGATAACATTCGATATCACTCCACCGAATATTAGTATATTAAGTAACATAGGATCCGATAACATAAATCAATTTTGAGAAACTTTAGATGATTAGAAACTTATATATATCATATGTAGATGATCTTGATGACGGTAGAAGATATATAGATAAAATTAAAGATTTAACAGAAGATTACAATTGAGAGTTGTGTGTAACAATGAATAATACACCAGTCTCTCTCTCTTCTTCTGCATTTTCTTACTTTTAAAATATTCCAGAGTTCTCGATTATTTGAGAAAATTAGAAAAACAATCAGAAGTAAACATAAAAAAAAAAGTTTTAAGTTAATCAATGTTTTTCTTAGGTAAACTGTAATTGCATTTGTTCTTCTTTTAATATAATTTCTATTTATAACTTGATTATAATTTAGAGCGGTTGAATAAATTGATCTTAGTTTCCTCTGAAAAGATTTCTTTTGTTGTATCATTAGTACAGCCGGAATATAATTCTGATAAATGCTGTTGAAAGAATAATACAAACGGAGGTTTTCATTCGAAATTCTACTACTAAAATTGCTTTTTCGTAATTACTTTTTCTCATTTTGATAGTTTTTTTTTTTAAATAATATTTATACAGAATAAATCGAATATAATATTGAGAAAATGTAGAAAAAATTAAATTAAATTTTAAAAGGTATATAAACATGTTATCCTCTATAAAACCCACGTAAACTACGATTGGTTTATAAGTAATCTTAATGATGTTTAGTTGAAACGAAAGATTTAAATAATCACAAAATACACTTCTTTCTATTAAAAAAAAAATATATTTTTTTTTAGCCAATCTTCATTGAGAAAACACACATCTTAACTCATATCTTTCTAATTACCTTCACAGAAATATGTTAATTAAAGCATTTTTGTTTGCCATTTTTCAAGTTTAATATATTCATTTACACTTTTATAAGCAGAAAGTAACTTTATTAAAATTATTATTATTATTATTTTTAAATCCAGATTTAAGTCCACTTTATTGGTATTTTTTATGCATATTGTATCGATAAAATTCTGCAAAAATGTTATTTCCAACGATGAAAAGAACTCTCTACTCTTGTTCATCTTGAATTTCTCTACTAAAGTTTTTTATTATGTGAAGATATCCATCAATACAAGTCTAAAAATTCCAAAGAAAAAATATAATAATAATAATAATAATCTTTCTTTATATTCTTCGAACGAAATATATTTAAATAAATTTAAATTTTTTTTTAAATATGATAAAAATAACTTTCTGCATTTGCAAAATATATTAAAAGTTCGACAATGCTTTTCGAGTTTGAAAAATGTTATTCTTTCTCTGATTGTAATATTCAAATCCACTTCCAAAAATTACTTTGGGATGTTGAACTGGAATACAATTAATCTTTATCAATTCTTCAGCAAAATAAAAATTTACAATGAAGATTTATCGATAGATATCCTCCATTTTCCTATACATCATTGGAATATGGGAGATTGAAAACACGTCCTTACAGTTTTAAGATAATGGATTATTGTAATTTTAAGCAAGAATATCAAACATTTTGAGATAAACATAATATTTTATACGAATTTATGATGATTTTTTTTAAATATTTTATACATTAAACAAACTTAATATGTAAAAAAAAAAATGTTTAAATTAATACATTTNTTTAGATGGAATCAGAAAATATTTTACAAGACTAGATGGTATTTTATATGGAGCTATCATCTTTTACAATATATTATCACATATTTTATACGTTATCAGAAAATATTTTACGGGTAGCTCTCTATTTTAACTTATATAGGGCCATCACATATTTCATAGGGGACTAAGAAATGTTTACAGCGACTAGAAAAAAATATATATATTTACTCTAAAAACTGCCGTATATTTTTGTATTAAAATTAACAATTTTTTTAAAATATTTTTCAAGAATCAATTGAATATTTTGCTAGATAGATATTCAAATTTCTCATAAGAGATTTGATAAGAGAGATATGTAAATAATTCATGTGTACAGTACATACAACAATGGACTATTCAATGTTTTTCTATAAGAGACTATTACATGTTTTATAAGGGTCATCAAATATTTTACAACAGTCCGAAAATACTTTACAGGAGGACACGAAAAACTATAAAAATATTCTAGCATATATTTAACAAAAATTGATCAAATACACTATTCAGAAGTATAGGAATAAATAAAATATTTACATTCACTCAAATTATGTGTCGTATTTGTAAGAGATCTCACACGAGAGAAATTTAAGTTTGAAAATTGTATTAGAAATATCTTCTAAATCTTAAAGGGAAAAGAGTAAAGAAAATGAAAATAGTAGGTTATTACTTACCAAGCGGTCTTTCCTGTGTCTTCGAAGGAGTCCTGACAATTGGTAAACTAGACCTAGCTTTGGCTGACCTCCTAAATCCAGTAGCTGATGTTTCCACTTCAGACATAATTCCAGGGTCGTCATCGTAAATGCTTGGAGGGGGTTGATATAGAGAATGGCTTCTTTGATTAGGTAAATGACTCTGAAAGTAAAATAAAACGTATGTAAATTCTAATTTAAATATTCAAATAGCATAATAATTATAAAATTAATGTGGTAATTTTCATTTGTTTACATTTTTAATCCTTGTTAATGTGCATTTCTGTGAATATCCTGTTCGAGTTTTATTTTTAATCTTAACACAAGTTTTATTTCAAAATATATTTTTAAAGCTTTCGTAAGCAATTTATTTCACTAAAGTCCACTTGTTATCCATATTTACCATTCATTCTTTGAGAAATTCGGCGTTTTCGAGAATTTTGTAGGGCTACTCTTTTCGTGCGTGACAGAATCAAAGGTTAGAATTTCTCTTGCCTGATCTATTTGGCACGAAGTCTACCCAATTCTACACATAAGTTTCCATTTTCTCTACGTAATATGGTCTTCAAATGGACGTCTTTCTGTAATCTCTGACAGTTTCGTACACGATAATTTATACGAATTTCATTATAGTAGAATCTTTCTAGAATTTATGAAATTACAAATTTGTTGCTACCTTTATCAGAAAATATAAGTTATGGTGTCGATCTTACTTAATACACACGATTCGATTAACGTAATGAATTCTTGTAGCTAATAATGATAATGCTCGACACTCTTAAGTGTCACTAGTATTCTCTTCCGGTGTTTACAGCGTTATCCATCTACTTTAGCCATTCTGAGTGAAATAGATCGTAAGAGATGATTGCTGATGGTCTTCCTTTACTGAAGAGATTATTCCCGTGAAGTGAGAATAACTTCCTTTCATTATGGAATAAGAAAAATTTGTTTAGGTCTAATATCTCTCATATTCTTTATCTTTATATAAATAATAAGCCATAATAAGATTTAAACCGAAAACCTTGGATCGTTTCTAAGATATTATGTTTCATACGTTAGTTTCATGACTGACTTATTGGTTTCTACGTATCGTGTAAGATGTGAAAAGAGAGGATGATCTTGCCAAATCTTTACCTAGATATTTACAGAAGGTGTTTTACGTGTCCTCCTTCCATTTCCATTCACGCTTGGCATCATCTTTTTACAGAGTGGAGAACTCTCAAAATTCTACGTCTTTGTCAATTATTTATTTCAGAAACGGTTGAGTTTTCATGTTTACTAAGGTTTTTTTCTTGTTTTTTTTTCTATTCAGTATGGTATATGATATCTATTATTTAAACACTGAATGTTTTTAACACCCTGTAGAAACTAAAGCCAAATGTAATAAAACCTACCTAAACAGAAAAAAAAATTCTTCGGTACGGAGCGATTTTCTGTGTTAAAAAAGAAAAAAAAAAAAACCTGTTTAAAACGGAAATCTGATAAACCGAAAAAATATTCGGTACCGTGCGATTCCGGTTTACACAAGTTTTATCGTATTCTCATTATCCAATTAAAACGAGATGGATTTAACAGATAAAATTGAAAAAAATCTGATAAGATGATGATATAAAATCTATCTCACCATAATATCGATTTAATCCAGATTCTCTAGATCTGGTTTTCGATAATTATTACTACTAAAATTAGAAAAAATCCATTAGATCTAATATATAATCTGAGGTTTATTCTCCTCGTCTTAGGTAACAGAAACTGATCTTTTCGATAGAAACTGCGAGGATGAGGACTTCAAAAATCTAGTAAAAGTGAATTTTATATTTAAAGAAATCAATCTTTTCCAAGAAAAAAATATATATATATATTACGATATGACATAAATTATAGACTTCTAACATCACTTAGACAGACATAATCAAATTGACAACATACATTTTTCGTTTGATTTTATGTAGCTTAGGAGAATAATATAAGATGCAGTCTTATAACACTGATCTTCCAGTAACATAAAATTTATAAATTAATAATTAATGCTTGAAAATCGTATAAAATATCATTCACGAAAGATCAACATAACATTTACATTTGAAAATTTCCTAATAAATTTAACACAATAGCCAAAAGAAGTTGAAGCCCACCGGTGGCCGAGTGACTAAAACCACTAGACACAGGTTGAGGGTTCGTGCTTGACCAACAGGCCGGTCACGTAGATTTTCAGGATTTTCTTCACGTGTCTAACACCTAAATAGGGGCTAGTTTCCGTAGAAAGTCTTCTCGAGAGACATCTTTCCCTTGGCAGGTGGCCCATGTGTTGCTTTGTCTCATCCCATCAATCCAGTGTGTTGCTTTGCCTCATCCCATCAATCCAGTCGAAAAAAACTGAATGAAAGCAATTTTTATTATAATAATACAACTGATAAACATCGCAATTTTTATAGATTATCTATCGATTTATTGATTTTTTCAAACATAAACGAAATTCTGGTTAAGATCGTGTTTGTGATATCGCAACATACACTATCAAAACGTTAGCATAAAAATAAATTCGGATCTATTTCTATGATCCGAGGTGGAATTTATATTACAGTATATTATATTATATTATATTATATACTACTAATATTAATTTTGATATATATTTAATGTAAGAACTTCTCTTGATACAATTGATAACGAGTTCAGTTTTAATGAATTTTACTTAATCGGATTATCCAATTGATCTATTAGATAAGTGGATCGAAGACATCAGAGATAAGTGAATTAATTAACGTTTACAGTATAAGTTACGTCTCAATGTTTGATACGCAAACAAAGTTTTACTTACAATCAATTTATCAGAATATATTAGAAGAAATTCGATGAAATTTTTCATTTAACGAAAAAATTTGTAACTTGAAAATCAAATTATCATTTTACTTAAAAAAAAAATAATTAATATATAACATTTCCTTATGATATAACGTGTTTATACAGAGTTTGATATCAAATATTTGTCATTTTAAAGATACTAATTTAATAATTTCCATTAATAACATGTAAAGAAAAAATATAATTTATTAAGAAAATAATGCCTTTTAAGAGTTATTTTTTTTAAATAATTTGAATAAAAGCCCGATATTTAAATCTGTCGAGAAAAGTGACTTTTAAGAAATTTGTTCCAATGTTAAATTGAAAAAATCTACATCTAATTCATTATTTAAAAAAAAGAAAAAAAATTGTAAAGATCTTTGACAGATGAAACTTTCTGTTTTACAGAATATTCTTTCTGAATTCTTCATTGATTTCTCAAAAAATATTTTAAAAATTTCTTATATCACAGACGACGCCATGACACAATTTCTCGCGTCAATCGTCATGCAATAGCGATTTATTTTTTCTTTTTTTTCTTTTTTTGGACGAGTGTATAACCTATCGAATAGTTGTTCTGCATGAAGTATTTTTGGACATTTCGATGATCCGCTAGCTATCGGTTCCTTTTTTTTTCGAATGTCCATCAGGATTGCAGCATCTTCCTACGATATATTCTCCCATTCTTGAATCCTAGCAAAGAATAGATTAGACTGGCTGCTCTATAGACTGTTCTACTCCGTTTATCTTACGATAAACAGATAAGAGTCGAATCAATGATCGACTTTCCGAGATAGTTCTTGATATGTCTTACATCAAATTGTAATTAAAACAGTTTTGTGTATGTGCGAACACAACAGCTTGTAGTGCGTGAATAGTCGTTCGATCGTAGCCGATTGAAGCTTATCCACGCCATCTTTATCGTTGAAAGATACCGAAAATAAGCCAAACAAGGTAGTTTATCCGTGTTATTCACCAAATTATTGATGCTCTATTCACTGTGTTTGCTATCCGAAAGCTGAAAAGCATGAAATTGCCGAAAATCTCTCTGTATCATAGTTTATAACCAGACTGCGATAGTCCCATCGTTTGTCTTCAGGAAATGGATTGCAGAACATATCATCAGCACTCTTCATTGCCACATGCGGGACAACAAGCAAAGCTTCTTGGGAATCGATCGCTTGCTGATAAACGTGGACATCTCGAACTACATCCGTCCGAAATTTATCTTCATAAAGACAGACCAGTTGCCTAATTTCCTTAGTTAAACACCCTTTCAACTACCAGTTTGAGTTGCAAATATTCATTTTTTTTTTTTTTTTTACTTTATAATCCTTCCATTCTCTTGTCTTTTCAGACTTCATCCGATCATCCATCTTCTTCCTCAAGTTTAATTTGTAGTCTCATTCTGTTATCTTAGTAGATTGTTAGGCAATCTTATCTATCTTCTGTAAACTTCCATTTCCTGATTGAAAATTCAGTAAGAAAATCAAAAATAAAATTCTAAAAACAGAATTATTTTTATCTGTAAAAAAAAATAAATAAAAAAATTAATTCTTTTCCAATCAACGATTTCAAAAAAATTCGATTATTTCAATTTTCCACTCCGAATAACAATTGTTAAATTTTTGAAATAAAAAAAAAAATACATCTTAATTAAATTCATAGAAAACATTCATTAAATTTCTCATCATTTTCATAACCCTGAAGATATTTTCTTTATTTAAATATTAAATTGATTAACTTTTAAAATATTTTCATTTTTACTTCCAGTATAAATAAATAAAAAATAATAATAATAGTAAATATATTT